TGACAGCCTTGGAGACCCTGTGGGCAGTTCCACTCTGTCCTCTAGGGCCGCTGTGAGTCAGAATCGACTTCATAGCAGTGGTGTGGTGTTTGGTTGACACCACCACCTCAAGATCCTGAGTCATCTGAACCCTGGCTCCATCCACAGTTTTGTCATTGCTGTTAGTGGCTGTGGAGTCGGCTCTGACTCATGGTAACCCTGTGTTAAAAGAGAGCAGAACACTGCCTGGTCCGCCACCATCTTCAGGGTCGCTGGTCTGCTGGAGCCCACGGTTGCGGCTGCTGTGTGTTTGTAGTGCCTTCCAACCCAGAGGGGTTGTCTTCTTGTCCTGGACCTCAGGTGATCCCTGAGGTTTTCACTGGAGAATTTGCAGAACCAGGTCACCAGGCCTTTCTTGCCAGCATCTCTGGTTGGACTTGAACATCCAACCTTTTAGTTAGTGGCCGAGCTGCTGCCCAACAGAAACCAGCTGCCATGGAGGCAACCCAGACGCACATGCCCCATGTGAGGAGGAGCAGAACTGTGCTCCACAGGGCTGTCAAGGCTCATTTCTCACCAGCAGATTGCCAGGCCTTTCTCCTGAGGGCCTCTGGGTGGACTTGAACCTCCAACCTTTCAGTGAGCATCTGAGCGCGTTCAAGGCCAGCACTACCCAGGACCCACTGGCAGAACGGTCGTTCTCCATCTGTATTTCCATCAAAGCCCATCACAGCCCGATGACACGTTTGTTCACTCACTCGTGGTCCATCCCCCCTCACCAGGTGGCCTCTCAGCCCCTGGGGTAAGGGCACCCAGGGGACTTGATAAACGCCTGTGGAATAAGCAAGTGGCCCACACTCACCAACGGTTCTGGGTTTGGAGCCTCCGTTAGCAAGGGCTCTCCTATTTTATTTTGGATTTTTGCATACACTCCCCCAGGAGAAGGTGACAAGGACTAAGGTCCCGGAAAGGGGCTTGGCCGGGCAGGGGTCCAGCCGAGGGCAGAAGCCCCAGCCCACAGCTGTCCACCTAGGGGGCAAGGAACCCATGACTCACCGGGGCCTCGTCAGTCAGCAGCTCGGTGGCCATGCCTCCACTGGGCACGGCGACCAGGGCATGGGCAGTGGACCTGCGGAATCCAGACGGCTGCAATGCTAGAGATACAGAGGGAGAGACCGGGGTTCGAGGAACCTCATGGACACACGCACAGACACAGACAGACACAGACAGATACAGACAGACACACACAGAGAGACAGAGACAAAAACACAGACACAAACACACA